GAAGAGTAACAACAGAAACCACAAAGTCAAGTTTAATAAGTAGAATACGTTACACTTTATAAATTTAGGGGCAGCAAAAATTTTATCTTATTTTTTTGTTTTTGGTACCAGGGATAGAATCCAGGAGCACTTACCACTGAGCCACATTCCCAGCCCTTTTTTTATATTTTATTTTCAGAAAGGGACTCACTAAGTTGCTTAAGGCCTGGATAAGTTGCTGAGGCTGGCCTTGAACTTGTGATCCTCCTGCCTCCGCCTGCCAATATGCTGGGATTAGAGGTGTGTGCCACCGCAAAAGGAATATAGATCAATGAACCATTTATACATAATATACTATGTGGAAAGAACTATTGGTCACCTTCAGAATATAAATAGATTTAAACAGGGAGATGAAATAAATATACAAACACATACATATACAACATATACACACATTATATATAAATTATCAACATGTTAACAGCTCTTTCCACATACATATATACCTATGAAATTCTATACTGTCAGATAAAGACCACAAGCATTTTGAATTTCTTTTGCCTTTGCTTCAAATCAGTTAAAGAAAATTTTCCTTTAGAAACAAGTTAATCATATACTGTTATATAAGTTGAATATAGCATACTGAAATTCCTTATTAATTAGTCCAAAAAGAAATATTTGGAAAAAAAATCCCACATATTAATGCAAATTAAGCAAGCAAGTTTTAAAATTTATACAATATGCTTGGGAAATCTTTAGTTGTATGGCAGTTTTAGTCAAATAGAGAAATGTTAAAAGTACATGACCTACAATATATGCAGTCTATAATTTGGATTATGTTATGGAAACATACAAATATTTCTTCTGAAAATTAAATCCCTTAAGAAAGAAGCCGAGGTGAATTTCTATATTATAGTCATTCTACTCAAAAAATATATTAAGTCAACTAAGAATAATAGTTTTATTGTAATGCAACACTATGATACTCGTCATTTCAGTTAGCAATTTTTCCTACTCTTTAGACACAACAGATAAAATGAAAGTTACATATTGAATAATATCAATCACATTCTTCCTCAGAGAGCAGGAAAATTCTGCAAATAGGGCTTTTTTTTTCTTTTTTTTTTTTTAATCAAGGAGGGCAAGGGACTATGAGAAAGGTCTTTATTCAAATAATTCTAGTACAACCAATAGGAAACATCCTCTTCCCCTAAAAGCCCACCAACACTATACTGTATTAAAAATAAAAATTAAATCAAATAAAGTCCTTTAAGTATTTCTAGTTTCACTTTGAGGCAGTCTCAGGAAAATAAACATTTCAAATAGTATCTTCATAAGGATAATTTTTCCCTAAGTTAAAATCCCATTTGTTGTACTTAAAAATGTTATAGTTGCTTTTATATATTAAAAAAAAAACAATAAAATCAGCTTAAAATAAATTTATTGTACAATACAAAAAGTAGGCATACCGGAAAATAAAGGTACATTATTAAATATACAAAGCAAATGAAAGAAAGCTAAACAACACAAATGTTTTAATCCAAACACTAAGATAAAATGCACAACATTTATGCTAAAAACCAAATATATCAAGAAGAATATGCATTTCAAATGAAATGTTAATGATGCCAACAAAAAGGAGGAAAAAAAGAAAAACAAATGCTATTTGTAAATGCTTGAATATCAAGAATCAATAATGGCACAAAACATTAAACCCAACAATACTGGGTACTTTTCAAGAACTTTATTTGAAAAGATATTAAGAATACTGAAAGAATCAAAATATGTACTTAAACTGGCAAAGCTTTTCTTTTTAAAAGTTTGTGGGCCTATTCACAGCATCTTACTTCTTCTTCCATTCATACCTCCTATAAAAATTTCTGGATGCTTGTTCTTAAAAAGTCTCTAAACAGAGTAGCTTGGATAACCCTACTTCATTTTTAAGTGTGCAGTTAGGCCTTACCGACATTATATGAAGTGCCACAAATTAACAACCGAATTTTGAAATCTATACAAATATGTACACAATATGAAAACAACTTTAATTTTATAAAGTAAAACCAACCTATGAGCAAAATGGGAAAATGTAATAATTTAGATCAGAGAAGGGGGAAAAAAAATAAAGCCTTCATGCCAATTAAGACATTCAGTTACTTGAATCACAAATAGCCATGGTAGAACTAACACAAATGTGACACTGTCCATAGGTTCAGCAGTGGCAAGGCCTTGAGAAGCATCCAGTTAGTATAAATATCTGAATATCACAGGAACATCAAGTAACCGTAAAATTCTTAGTAAAACTCTGTAAAATTTCATATATAATTACTTAAATACTTAAATTTAACACCTAAGCCCAAAAGCTTTTGACCAGCACCTCTGGGGGGAAACTTCTTCCCCTAATAATATAGTTCTCAAACTCAAGACATCATATGACCAAGATTTCTTATATCTAATTTGTACCTGATATCTAAATTGTAAAAGATATCTAAATTACTCAGTAAAATCTCTTTTGCTATACTATAATACTTTTACAGACTTTGCCATATCACATAAATGCCATCATTCTAAGAAGCCATAAAGGTTTCCTTCTCAAACTTCTCCCTCCAAATTTACTGGTTTAGACATAAATTAAAAAAAAAACCCAAAAAACCAAACCTGAAACTATGGGGAAAACCACAGAGGTATATGGAAGAAGGAGGAAGTGTGAATAGGCCCTACAGAATTTTACAGACACTTTGCCAAGACAGACTTTAAAATACTGTGCATAATTATTTGAAATCAGGTTACATAGAACCTAATTCTTCTCTTAAAAACAAGTTTTGATTCTCAATATTGCATTTTTATAACTGAACAAAAAGATTCAGATCTAAACAGATATTTTAGTAGCATACTTACTACCTTTAGACTAAATTCAGTTCCTAAGTACTCCAAGAGAAGTCAAATAAAACAAACTTTATGAGATGTTATAATTTACCACAAAAGAAATATTCATTAGCACTTATGAAATTATTAGAATAATAAAATTATTAAAAGCTAAAATCAAAATCTGCCATTCATATGTAATTATAACAGAAAAAGTTATGTAAATTCCGTGGGTAATATGAAAATAAAATTCATATTGAAGACACACACTATCTCTCCTTCTGAGTAACCATTATAGCTTTTTAACAATGAAATTCTTTGGCTGGAAAGATTCAATATGTAAAGACACTCCTGTACAAGATAGTTCTCAGGACAGAACTCAGGAGTTGCACAGTAACAAAGTAATGAGATATATTTTAAAGTGTTTGCCAAAGTTTTGACGAATTTTTAAAAAGTTAACACCAATCTATAGCTAAAAATGGCATTCATGTAAACTTAAAATAATTTTATAATCTACTGCTATTATAAATAAAGTAATTTGGAATTTGTTACTTTGAATTTTTAGTTTTGTATTTAGCATAGAAGTACTTTCCATTGCTACTATCAACATCATGTCAGTTTTAAAAATAGAAAATAAAAAAACTAAATGCAATAATTTATTAATTCAATTTGTAGATTTTAGAACTGAGAAATGACACCTTAGTAGAATTATCTGGCTATACAGGCAAAATTTTTAATTAAATCAAGATTTTTTTTTAATTTCTTTTTTGTATTTTTAAAAAATAAAGCAAATTTGCTTTATTTACTTTTTAAAGACCAACAAATCCACTTTTTAACTATTATCTTTTTACAAAGATTATAAGCAAAAAAAAAAAAATTAAAAAGCTTACGGCTCCAGCACCTAAGGTTGAGAACACAAAAAATCCAAATAAATATTTATAGTTTGCAAAAAAGCTAAAGATGTTTGAAAGGTTAAATGAAGAAACATTCTGAAACTAGAACCCATTTCTTTAGCTTTTCTCTCCCAGACTTTCCATTCTATATACTACAGTTGTAGAGATGTCCTCATTTGACTCAGGTGACACTTTTTTCCACACTGTCTCTTTTAAAGCAAGTTCTTGTTGGAGACTTTCATAGTCCAATGGTCCAAAGGAATGCTAGTTGTTCAAGCAACATACATAATTTATTAGTGTACTTGAGTGAAGAAAGGTCCAAGCTATAAAATGGTATTTTTCAATGAACGTTATTAAAATCTGTTAACATTTTCACCCACCACCATCTGACATTTTACTTCATGTTACTCATGTCGACTCCCAATAAAGTTTTTATTCTGTTAACTTGGCAAAATTCTCAAATATTATAAGAAGTTGCTTTGATTGCAACTAACAAAACTTTAATGTGGCACTAACAAAAGTTATTTGGTATATACTAAAATTGTTTACAAGAGCTTCACAGTCTAATAGGTAATTTTACTATAAAAATTTTTCATATGGGATGCAAAGGTACTGAATTAAAATTCTCAATATAAGTCCTTTGGCCCAGTAAAAAACTACATATAGATTTAAAAAGTTTAAGTCCTGATTCTAATACCAGCTCTAAAGTAGAAATGGATAATATGAAGCCAAACATTGCAATAATAAACAGGACTTTAAGGGTATGAGGATATTCCATTAAACACTCATTGTAGAAAAAATATTTCATCTACAGTGGCTTATAAAACTTAAGAGGCTTCGAAAAGTCTCCCACTAATATCATAATACCTTTTCATTTACATATTTATCCACAAAGCAGGTAAGGAATTGAAATACACTTTAATTCAGAACTAGGACAAACATTAAGAGTAAAAAAGACTTTCTTTTTATATTAATAGCATGTAGCATTTCTTTTTATATTAATAGCATGTAACAATTCTAAAACTCTTAAAATAGCAGAAAACAAGCCAACTCTTAGGCTAATGAATTCCAATTTAAATAGTGAAAGCAATATTTAATATCTATATACTAGTGATCCAAGATAAAAACATCATCAATTTGTTTGCATTCATTTGTGATTGGGAAAGACATGAGACTACTAACAAACTTAAGTTTTAAACAGGCGAATCTCAATTTCTCTCTCTTAAAAGAATATTATAGAATGATCTAAGAAAGACTTTGGCTTACCCTCTGATCTCCACCTTCTCTTCGAGGATCAAGTTTTTTTGCAAAGTGTCTCAAATTGTCATAGTTATGGAAATTACACAGAGAAACAAGATCCTGGAAAGAGTTATACAGAATAGGTATAAGTAATGAATATGACATAACTATGTTGATATATGACTACAAGACAGCGAATCTCAACATTGTGTATATCCACAAGACTGGGATCCGGCTTAACTACGATCTTATAGAAACCACCACTGCAGCTAGGTAGCATAGGCGGCACATGCCTGTAATCCCAGCAAGTAGGGAGGCTAAGAAAGGAAAATCCCAAGTTCGAGGCCAGCATTGGCAATTTAGAGAGATCTTACCTCCAAAAAAAAAAAACATTGGGATACAGCTCAATGGTAGAGGCCCTCTGGTTTACTCCCCATATCATAAACAAACAAACAATGCATGCTAACTATAAGCATGGCATAAGGAAGAGAAATGAAATCAGAATAAAGATACAAGTCCTAAGAACACTCTTACTATAGCATGACCCTAGTACTTAATCACTCAAATTGTCTAACTTTCATCTTGTGTAAAACAGGGTTTATATAAGAGGCCACATGAAAGCATTCTTCAGTGAAATAACTGTAAAGTACCATAAAAATATGTCAGAATTCTGGTTATAATTTATTATAATTCATTTTATATATAACCCAAGGTCATTCTCTAGGTCATGTAAAATATAAAAGACTAAAAAACAAACCAGAATTTTAATTGAAAAAAAAATCTGCAAATAAAAACCAAAAATTATTGTACTTAACATGGACTCTAGAAAGTAATATATGTAAGTAAAATAATAACATGAAATAATAATGAGAATTAGGTGACAACAAAATACTGAACTAATCAAAAGTAGTACAACTTTTAAAAATTTATCTTAATTTTAATTTGCAGTGCTTATTTCTTCAAAAAAAAAAAAAAGGTAGGTAATAAGTAAGTCAACTATGTGTATTAATGACACAATAAATTTTAATTAAAATTTTTGGTTTTAAACTACTTCTCTGTATATTTTCTGAGTTTTGGAAAACCAATTATAACCAAGAAAATTAAAACATAAGCATCAATCAAATGCAATTTTTTTTGTGAGAATAATTAAAAAGGAGCTGTCTGGTAGTGCAACTTGAAGCTCCTCCGTGAGTATTTCCATGGCTACCCAGCAACTGTCACATAGGCAGGCAGAATACCAAAAGTGAAAACTATGGAAAACAGGTAAAAAAATAATATCACTGGGTAGCTTAACTTGTATGGTCATTATTTTCATTAAGAATGCTTACATGACAGAAGTGAATTCCTTTAACACTGTTGCCCATCTTGTCCAGAGGAGGAGACCAGCACATCATGCCCATGACATTGGGGACAACTAAAAGAATTCCCCCAGCAACTCCAGATTTTGCAGGAAGACCAACCTAAAAATTCATGTAAACATTTGAAAATAAGAAATGTTATGTTCAATAATAAAGGAACTGATTAAAAAAAAATATATGGCATATATCCATACAAGAGAATTTCAACACTTAAAATATCATAGATAAACACTGATCAAGGGGCTGGGGATGTGGCTCAAGCGGTAGCGCGCTCGCCTGGCATGCGTGCGGCCCGGGTTCGATCCTCAGCACCACATACCAACAAAGATGT